AAGGGAACCCATATAGCCCCCTTTTAGAAGGACTGTAGTCTTTGTAGGGCCTTTTTTGGGTTTCCATGTTAGTTTCCGGGAGTGTAGCACTTCTCGCAGATGCTTGAAACAGCTGGATGCACAGAATCTGCAGATCAGCCATACCATGCCAGTCGACCATATTGGCACTTGCTTGGCATTGGGACAGTGGTACTTTGTTCTTCACATGCCCTAGCACTTCCACTTGAACATGGCGGTCAAAGTCCTACTTGGTCTAAGTCTTGGATCTGACAAGCTGACTTATCAGACAAGCTTTCCTTCTGCACAGCTATACTGCAGACTCAGGCGCAAATCAATACATCGTGCCGCACTTGCTTCTCGCTCAAAGCTCTTTGGGATCTTAATCCATGTCTCCTGCAAAAGCTCGTCGCCCTTGACATTCCGATCCCAAGAGTGTTACACTTTTGAATCCTAGCATTTTCCTATCCGAATCCCTGTATAGTCCTGCACGGGAATACCTATAATGTTCTGACAGCCCGCGAAAGTTTGTTAGGGCATCCATGTTTCGAGAAACCTGGCAGGCACCTCCATACCTATGAGGAACCTTCCTGGCGCTTCCCCATCTCGCCTTTGGCGAAGAGCCCCTCGGGGTGCATACGAGCGTTCCCTCCAGGATATACTGGTTCGTGACTTGGTATGTTGGGCGATGCCAGCACAAGCGTCATTATCGCAGGCTCAGGAAGGTTATATTGAAGTGCTTTCTACTTTGGGTAATTATCCGCCCCAGTTCCCAGTTCTCAGGCATCCCCCGAATCAGCTAACCATGCGGAGTCGTGCTACAACGTTTGAACAGCTGCAGCTGAGAGGGCGAGCTGCAAACAAGCGAGCCTGTGCAGCCTTTCCAATAGCTCCTGTGCCGCTTAGGAATGTCAATGACGCCGGGCTCCCGCCTCTTCGTCTACACCGGTGTTCCTTACATCCCTGATGCGGCTGGGCCCACTACATGTCATGTCACGTCACGGTATGACTCATTAGGAGTCGGACCTAAGCACACGGCAGAAAAGTCAGCTTTGCTGCACTGGTTGCAGAGGCGGCGCCGGCATCGCAGAGGCGTGTGAAGGGCTTCACGCCTGTGATACAATGATGCCTGAGAATTGCACACATGGCGTGAGCACAGTAGACCGCCTGGTGACAGGCATCCGGCAGCTGCAGCGGAACCGCCTGAAAGCGAGGTTGCCATCCAGGCGGGTCGTGGGATCCCAGGATTCAAGGACTCTGCAAGTTGTATATGTGGGAATTACCAAGGACCTTGGAGTCCAACCTCGACGAAGAACTGCTGGTTGACAGAGTCGGTGTAGAAAGTAGGTAGCCTGAGCGCTGAGGGTACAGGAGCACTCGTTGCAAGAAGCGCTGTCAACTTGGCGGAATGAATTTCATAGCCACCCCAAACTGCGTAGAGATGTTTATCGCAGCGTGTTGGAGCTCCATGAGCTCAATCGCCTACAGTGGGCTCTCATTTCGCCAGGAGTGGCTTATGTTTTGGCAGAGGCCCCGCACGACAACCAAAACAACAGCATCCTTGTTTAATGGTCACTGTGGGGCCCAAGATGTTGAGAAATTCTCCCTTGTTTTCGAGGTTCCACGGAATTTTCATTGGGCAAACCGGCAGCTGAACTACAGACAAGAAACTGGGGCAGCCCAATGTCAACAGGACTACGCTTGGTGGCTGTGCCGTCGTGCAGAACTACTGTACTGCACAGTCCCTGCCAGGTTTAGGTAGTGAGCATTTGCAAAAAAGTGATTGCAGGCGCCTTTGTGGAAGCGGCCGCTGATCGAATCTGCCACTTGGGCTGACGTCAGGATCACATGTCCACCAAATTGGGACTGTGAGTTGCCCAGCCTTGTCAATGTTCAGAACTGGGCTGCTGTTAAGGAACTTAATTTAAGTTACTATGTTGGGGAAACCCTTATTCACTCTATATATATATACATATACATACCCATTATGGTAAGTTCCTTAACAGCAACCCAGACAAGGGTGGATGTCCTCAACCTTGCTTCCAGAAAGTACTGCACAACTCCAACATGTTTGTGAAATCTTGTGCACATGCGGATGCGTGTTCCGAAAATCAGGTGTCCCTTTTCGCGGGCCCCTCTAATAAGGACTGTGCTAGTTTTGGGTCTACATTGGGGCCCTCAAGCTTTGGAAACCCCATATCTACTGCGAGGTTTTTGTATCTGAGGTCGTTGTGGTTGGCGATTTCTGTGGCAATTTACGCCGGCCAGGCGTCTGACACGCCTAGAGCTTTAGGATTCTGAGTTGCCATGAAGCAAAGGCACTTCTGGCAACCTTTCCGGAAGGTGGACGCCTGGTTGCTAGCTTTCTGGCACTCTGTTTTGTTGGAGGGGGATCTAGAGATTCACGAAGGACAGTCCGATAATGTTGGACCCGCTTTAATATCCCCCCCCCCAAACAATTTGAGGACNNGGTCAAACCTATGTTTTTTCTATTTTTGCCCCCAAAACTTGACATTAAAGAGGGTCCCTAAACATACCCACAGATCCTGAATTAGCCCCAGAACTTGACATTAAACCGGGTCCCCATGCATAAGAGGGTCCAACATTATTGTCTTCCAAAGCTCAACCCATTCCGGGCAGCAACAATTCCTCGCTCCTCCTTCGCGGTCATGGCATCAGACATAGTAGCTGAGCGGTGAGCCGGTCAAAGATTCGGCTGACGTTTGCTCGAGGCAGCGCCAACATCAAGAGAAGCCATTGGTTAAAAACAGTTGCATCTGTACCGTGCAAGGGTGGTAGAAAGGATGCAGAGCTGCGAAATTCATGCATCCAGTAATGGTGGTGTGGACTTGCGGCTTGCCAGAATTAATCTGGAATAGAAACTGAAACTTTGCTCCCAAGGCAAGCCAACAGCTGGATAGCTTTTGGAGTTATCCTGCCATTGAACATGCTGATATGTAGTGCAATACAACGATGAAGACGAGTAACATACACCCCTCCACCCACAAGGATCCCCACCACCCCCCTAATAATAAAGATTCCCCTATTGTATGGTGTTATTACTACATTGGGCGGGGGTCATCATTGTGAGGGGGATGGGATGACCATGAACACAGTGAGTGTAGCCATTGCCCAGGTCCAGTGGGTCCACACCTGCCAAAATCCAGAGGCAAAGACAGGGTTCCTTTAATAAGGGGACGCCAATATAGACCCCCAAATACTGTAGTCCTTGTTACAGGAACCCAAACAAAGTATCCCTGATTTTGGGAAACCCTACATGAGGCAAAGCTACGGGCGTACTGTGCAGGATCCAGGTGGGGGGACCTGCAATCGACTTCGCCCATGTATCCACGCTTGCATGAGATGCTTTGGGGTCCGTAGGCCTTGGCCTGGCAAGCATGAGGAGTTACAGAACCTACGCAAGCACCTTTACCATAATGGTGGTTTAAATCCGATCAGATTTATTTTTGACCTAGTTCTAATTATTCATGCGCCTTTCCCGGAATGTTTATATTTGGAACCCGACTCTGACTCCAGCTTTAATTCATTTATCAGATCAAGGACTAAACTCCTGAAGGGTACCGATTGTTTGGTCAGGTTCTGCAGGCCATACAGGCCCAGAACGCGCCGGTTGCAGCAGGCCCTGCTTGACTTTGCAGAAGTCCTTCAAGGTAAACTTACTGGTTCTTAGTAGGGAATCATGGAATACAATCCCTATATAGTGCATTCCCATATTCCCTACAAGCCACTAGTATGGGGGGTGGGGGGGGGGTGTGCCTCCATTCTCTTTGCAGCCAAGTGGGAGGCTTTAAGGGGCTGGGATGGTATGGCTTGTGAGTAGCTTTGGCAATCACAGTGACGATTGATGAGGGGGCTTCTGGGGTTTAAAGAAAGGCTTGGACATCATCAGGATGCTAATCTTGATATGCTGTTTGAAAGCGACTGTCAGCAACATGCTTGTTCCAATCAGGCTCACGTAGTGTGGCGGATTACCTTGGCGCCTGCAGCCTGTTTGGCTCAATGCATTTGGCATTATCCAAAGCTGAGAGTAGCTACAGCTTCCGCAGCGACATGCAAATCAAGCATGAAACTGAGAACATCATTCGATTGATAAACTCAGAATGCTGGACTTTCAAGACTCCAAAACCCCCATGCAGAGCACCCTTTTTCATGGTGCTGCAGTGTTTGTGGAGGGCCTCTTTCACTCGAGCCTCAGCTGAAAATGTGCGACCACTTTGCAAAGAGCACCGTCCTGGGAGCAGTGAATCACAAAGACATTGACATGCGTTCAAGTCACGTCCTTCTTGAAGGCGAGGCAGGGACAATTCCTAGCACAGTACCTCCAACTCATCTTCTTAGGCTTGTAGCATATTCTGGCCCGCTCCAAACCATGTACTGAGTAGTACTGGGCAAGCTTTGCCAGCCAGAAGTGCGTGGCCGCGTGGATTGGATTTTGGGCGCCTTTTTTTTTGTCCCAGCTGGATCAGAGGGATTAACTGGAATGTCATGACGATTGACGCGCACCTGCCCAAAGGCTGCTCACCGCTGCCGCAGAAAGCGCCGCAGCTCTACTGGCAGTGGCGGCCGCGCAAAGACTGCAGCCGGTGTCCAGGCTGTTATCTCAGGCTGTGCCATCGCTTTCCTCAGTGATACGAGTAAACGGTATGCAAATGTGATGCGGTTGGACAATCGTCGCTGATTTCACTGCCGCTGTCGGCGCCCACTACTATAACTGCCACCATGACTGTCACCACCACCACCACCATGACCGCCTTCCACCCCTTCCGCGCGGACAGCACCAGCATCAGCTGCAGCCTCGTCATCCTTGTCATCATCATGCTATATCGTCATGATCATCATCACCGTCATCATCATCATCATAAGGATGAACAGCTCGTCATAGTATTCGGCTTGCAACATGTAGCCATAAAGGCATGACTTGGATGGTGAGTTGCAATTCGCTACCACCATTACCTTCTTGCTATCGGCCTTGCTCCGCTGAGGCCATTGTTGTCGATGTCTTGCGGGTACGCATCTGCTGGGGCTGAGCCAGACTGCCAGGAGCAGCAGGACGGCCAGTGATGGGAAGGGCTACCTGTGGGGACTTGCAAGCATCTGCTGCAGCAGCCAATGAGATATTGAGTTATCCCCAAATCTCACAAACACACTCTCGAGGCACAGAATCGATGTACTGATGCTCTAATCGCCCCGCGGGCTCCTGAGAGTTGGACAGGAGGTTCCAGCCCAGCCTTCAAATTCTGCGCTGCCCGGGTCAGTGAGCACTGTGCTTTGGGTGCTGGCGCTCAAGGCTGCACTGCCACTGGATGGCCAGCAGGGGTACGCATGACCATTTCCCGTTCAGTTCACCTAGGTTGCGATTTTTTGAGGTTGCGGCCCTTAAGGAGAGCAAAGACTGCACGGAAAAAACAGCAGTCAGCGCCAAGGAACCACGGAGGCACGCGTCGCCCAAAGCGTTGGCGACGAGAGGCCAAAAGGAAGTGGCTCAGCCAGTGTTTGGATCAGGAATGCTTGTACTTGGGCATGGAGCGAGCATTGAAACCAAGCTTGAGGCCTCAAGGTTGAGAGTATAGCCACCCAACTCTATAGAATCACCACTTGAATGCCAGGTGCCCCACTTGAATGCCAATCGCCCAGCCCCAGCTCTTAAAGGGGTCTGGATTCTCAGCTGAGGCAGCTGCAGCTGGCCACTGTGGACCCAGAAACCATGGCGCCCTCCGTGCGGAGCTGGGCTGCAGATGTACCCGATCTTCCAAAAGCTCAATCAACTTACTGGCTAATAGGAGTAGGGAATGAGGGAGTAGAATCCCGATGTAATGGATTCCCATATTCCCTACCAAGAGCCAGTACGTCAAGGAACATGTTCCAACATGAGCATGATGTTTTCAGGACCGTTGAGCCAGATGTGATCCTCAGTTATGGAGCCCAGTGTTTGAGTCTTATGCAGACTATATCCCCAATATAACCCCTATATAATCCCAGTTTCCATTTCATCTTCCATTTTCTTTTCCATTTGATTCTCCATTTTTGGGGTACCATAGTATCCCCAAACAAAATACTGTGCGCAATGCGGTGATCATCTCAGGACCGTAGTCTTCCAGGGCTTCCTCCGCTCTGACACATGGCTTGACTGTCAGATGTTGCTTGGAAGGGTGCTCGGGAATGGGAAGCCCTGAAGGTTGTGTCAAAGCTGTCGAGATTCAGGGAAAGGAAAGGCTGTTCAACCGGCACCGCTTCATTCTTTCGCCATCAGGTTCGATACGATTCAATATACAGCACAAGGAAGGGTTGCATGCGTGATGCCGAGGTTGAGGATCACCTTCCAGAACATGCCCGAAGCATCACTCCAAAAAGACTGGCCACCATTTCACTTCTCATCACTGTGACACCATTTGCAATGATCCTCACTGTACTTGTATCAATAGTAATTACGAGGAAAGAACGTGATGAGGGACCCTCGCCCAGGACCACCTCGTCCCAGCAGCTGCGGCAGCTCCCGCTGAAGGCAGTGACTCTGAGGACCTCAAGGGATATGAGACACTGTTGGGGACTTACTTCAAGAGGGAGCCAGGTGGGTCGTGGTGGGTGATGATGACTCCAGCGGAGTCAAGACAAGCAAAGAAGCTGCTAGCAGAAGGAGCGGATGAAACAGCAACTATGGCTAGGGATTTAACCATACCAGCAAACTTAGAAGCATATTCCTTTTTGATTCATCTAGAAGTCTGGAGTAGTTGCGATAGGGTCATGACACAGATATTGTACAGATATTCACCTAAAGCAGAGAGGGCTAATCGCTTGCTGAGGAGCTCTACAGGCTGAGGTACCAGCCCCAAGCAGACATCATACGCCTCAAGCTCCCCCAGGTAATATACGGGCCTAGATAATTACCAATATCATGGTTCCATATTCCTTGTGCACCTTGTATAATTAGAGTATATGGTACCTCAAATGGAACTCCAGATGATATTTGTAATTATTTAGGCCCTAAATCCTATTCTGGCATAGTAGTTTCCATTTTCCTTTCCATTATCCTAATATAACCCCTATATAACCCTCTATACTATTGTTAATTATTTAGGCCCCTAAACCCTATACCCTATACCCTAAACCCTAAACCATTTAGGTAATTATTCAGGCCCCTAAACCCTATACCTAAATCCCGAAACCCTTTAGGTAATTATTAAGGCCCCTGTAGTAGGTCTCCCATCCTACGGCCAGGAGAGCCTTGCGGGCGCGCCATCTCCCCAGGCTGAAGCGAGAGAGTTGAGTTTTGTTAGGAATATACCATAATATAATAATGTATATATATATATATTATTGTGTTGTGTGACATAATGGTATAGTATCTTGTATTATATTATATTCTGGTGAGCCATAATATATCATAATATATTATGGTATAGTACAATATATTATGAAATATTATGGTGAATTGTAAAAACAAATTTTCGAGACATCCGAGATTTTTGGCATTTAGATGTTCATGCTATGTCCTTCTCTGGGATGCAGCGTCGAAATCTCTGCGCGCGGTATGTTGCCCTTGCGTGTGGGCCTAGCCGAGGGCCTCTACTCAAGCTTAAGCTTGAATTCCGTTTGTGCGGACCGGTGCTGGGCCGATACTTTCCTGAGTGGACTGCACCCAGCAGGCCTTCTTATTTCCCCACGCTTCCACGTTGGCATTCGCATACTTGCGGCGTAGGACCTAATTACGGTAGATCAAGCGTGGTGTGCGCGTGTGTGACCAGGACACTCGGGACAGCTGCATCATCATCCTGGTCACAGACTCCCGTGCTCAAAAAGTCCGACATGCTCAGGCAAGCTTTCCGAAGACCCCTGTTGAGATATGTGGCTGGGACGTTGTTTAATTCTTTCATGTTCTTTCCCTTTTTCCTCAGCCGTCGCTGGAGACCATCGACCAGAAAGAGGATAGAGTGGGATAGAGGAGCTGGAAGTGGATATCCTAAGAATCCCAAAGTTGGTGCTACTATCGGGCCAATCAGAATTTAGGAGTCACAGCATGTAATCATTGTTAGTAACCCCCATATAGCCCTATATAATCCTGATATAGCTCCTATATACTATAACCCTTATATGACTCCTCAACTGCCATATTTGGCCCCTGGATTCCTTCAAATACAGCCGAGGTTGGTGGCTGGATGAGGCCGCAGTGCAGTTCCGAATATCGGGACGGGCGCTGGTGGCCGACCCTCGGTTTCCCAGATGGGTTTAGAGTCTAGGGTCTAAGGGTTTGGGTTCCTGATGGTGATGTGTGTCTTTGTGTGTGTGTGTGTTTTTTTTTTTTTTGAGGGGGGGGGGGGGGGGGGGG